TTGGTAAGACATTATCACAAATATGGAACTGAGGCCAATATTAGGGGATAGGAATGAAAGAATATAACTGTGGGAGTCATCACAAAGAAGGTAGTTGAAGGAAATAGTTGAAACCATGAAAATTGGTGTAGTCTTTAAGGAAGAATGTCTTGAAGGAGAAAAACAGAGTCAAGAACTATACTTTGTGGGATAGGCATAGTTGAATGCTTAGAATACAGAAAATGAATAAGAAAGAGAATATTAAGAAAGTCAAGAGAAACTGAAATTTTACACAAATGGAAACCATGATAGGAAAGAGTTTTAAGATGGAGAGATAATTAGGTAGCACTGTCACTTGCAAAGAGAGCACCTAGAGAATGAGGATAAAGTAAAGACAGATTTAAATGTGAGAACGTATTTGGTAACTTTTGGGAATGAAGTTTTAGTAGAATAATAGGAAAGAAAATGGACTGCAGAGGAAAGAGTGAGGCTTCAAGACAGCTTTCTGGCATATCATTTCTTAATTGTGGTTCGTTAATACCATCTGCAAACCTCCCTCTAATTCTATATGATTTCAACGCCTATATGGATAATCTTTGTCACCTGGTCTTTCAGTGCAGAGATCTTTTTCGCCAGTGATCTTATTCTCTATTATTTTGCATCTACCTACTTCTATAATCCATGTTATCAGATGAAATTGCTGCATCTACAAAATTGATTCAATCATCATGCCTGTTTCTATATTTATAGCTTCCTTGTTTACTCTCACTATAACTGTTAACTTTAGCTCTCTATTCCAATAATCCCTTTATTTTATCCCTCTACTTTAGCCTTTTATTCTTTCATTTTCTTCCTATCCAGTTTAGATTCTATGTTTCATCATTTTAATAACTCTTATCAACACCGCAAATTCTTTTGCCACTCTCTGATTTTTATTGCTTCTTTCTGAAGCAACCCCAGCCCTGGATGAACTCAGAAATATGCCTTCTCTATGCTTATGCCTGGTGTGACAAGCAAAGTCTCACAGGAGGCCCAGGTGCAGTGGCTCACGCCTGTAATCCTAACACTCTGGGAGGCCGAGGCAGGGGGATCGCTCAAGGTCAGGAGTTCGAAACCAGCCTGAGCAAGAGCGAGACCCCCATCTCTACTAAAAAAATAGAAAGATATTAATTGGCTAACTAAAAATATATAGAAAAAATATAGCCAGGCATTCTGGTGTGTGCCTGTAGTCCCAGCTACTTGGGAGGCTGAGGCAGAAGGAGTTTGAGGAGTTTGCTTGAGCCCAGGAGTTTGAGGTTGCTGTGACCTAGGCTAACGCCATGGCACCCTAGCCCGGGCAGAGTAAGACTCTGTCTCAAAAAAGAAAAAAAAAAGTCTCACAGGAGTACAGGTTGGTACCATTATAAGTTCATAATCACCTCCTGTGTCCCTGAGCCATCAACAGTACCTGGCAAATCTAATACTTATTTTGGTCAGCTTACTGTTTCACAAAGACTGTTTCAAATCTTTGATTCTCCTCAAATCTCTCTCTATTTTTGCTCTTATTTTTAACAGCTAATAATCATGTTCTTTTTCTGAAAACAAAAACTATTAAATCAGAGTTACTTCAACCTGACACCAGAGCTGTAAGCTTACCTGCAAATGCACCTTACCTTTTCTCTAGTTCCAATAGAAGGAGATGTTTCTCCAACTTTAAGATTCAATCCCTTCACCTGTCTTCAGGTTTCCATTTCCTAACTCTTTCTTATTAATTATCCCTTGTTCTCCTTTATTACCAGCATCTTCCTCTTAACTGGCTCACATTAGTATTTACATCTGTTTGTTCTGGTTTATCTAACCTTAAAAAAGGAAAAAGAAAGATCTCTTCCTTGACCCCATTTCTTCTTCCATCTCTTTGCCAGTCTTTCTCTTCTTGATAAAGTTCATGAAAGATTGGTCTGTACTTGCTATCTTCATATCCATTCCTTAGTAACTTCTTTCCTCACTAAACTGCTCTTTTTAAAGCCACCAGCAAGCCTCATTCTGTTATTTCCAGTGTGCATTTTTAGATCCTCATCCTACTTGGCCTCTCAGAAACTTTTAGTAGAATTGACTGATTTTCTCGAAACCTTCTCTTTTGGCTTCCATTGCATCAGAAGCAATGGTTTTCTTCCTACCACTCTTAAGAATAATGGGAAGCCACTGAAATGTTTTAAGCAAGGTAGGACCAGTGTTAGTGTGCTGAATGAATTGAAAGGGAGAGGATACGACTAAAGTAAAGATCAATTATGAAGCTATCTATTATAGTAGTCTAAGCCAATAGATGATGTTTGCTTGGACTAGGTTGTAACAATTGATTTGGAAAGAATTAAACAGATCAAAGGAAATTTAGGAGATAATATCAGCAGGTTTTTCTGATGGATTGAATATAAGGGGATAAGAAAGCAAGATTTACCTGTTCTGACTTAGGCTTCTAAGACAGATGAGATGCCATTTACCAAAGAAGAAAACCCTGGAGGGGAAAGAATTTGGGGATTAGGGTGGGCAGAGATCTTCTGGCCATGTTGAGTTTTAGGAATTTTTGAAAATCTGAATGGATTGATCAGGAGGGAAGTTGGATATATAAGTCTGAGTATCAAAGAAGCAACTGATATAAATATTGAAATTGTTGTTATTTTAAATGGTAGTTTAATTGAAATTACACATTTAAGATAAATCATCTGGGGAAAGAGTACAGAATAGGAAGAGAATAGTTCATGCTATGATTTTAAAGTTAATTTAAATAGGATGAGTTGGCAGAGAATACTGAGGAACCACTGCAGAGATAGAAGACCATATTTAGGAAGCCTTGGGAAGAGAATTTTTTAAGGAAGCAAGCAAGCATTTTCGTTCTCATTCACTTATATAATTTACCTCACGTTATGATAATTGCCTGTTTACATATCGATGTACCCAGTATTTTAAGTTATTTTAGGGATTGTGGGTTGATCTATCTTGGGAACCAGCAAATATTTTCCGTAAATGACCAGATAGTAAATATTTTAGGCTTATGATCTCTGCTCCACTATCTCTACTGTTATGGCATGAAAACAGCCATATGAAAACATAAAGAAATGAGTGACTATATATTAATAAAACTTTATTTATAGATACTAAAATTTGAATCTTAACAACTATCATGCCATGAAATATTATTCTTTTGATTTTATTTTAATCATTTAAAATATAAAAACCATTCTTAGCCTGTGGGCTGCCCAAAAACAGAGGGGACCAGATAAGGCCCACAGACTATAGCTTACTGAGTCTTTTCCTCTAATTGAGCCTGGTGTCTGAACTATTATAGACACTCAGTAGATTTTTGTTTAATTGTTGAATAAGTTCTTATCCAGTTCAAATATACCTTTTAAAGGGTATAGGGAGGTAATGAAGGTGGGTTTTCCTCTTCAAGTTCTGAAAGCAAGAATTCATACTTTTCTTTGGGGCCATTCTTCTCTTTAGAGGTTAACTTTTATCAAAAGTCCGTGTAGCATTCTGACACACTATCAAGTGTCCAGAAGACTGTTTTAAATTTTTGTAAGGATGTAATGGTGTCATTTGGGTTGCAGAAAGGTTAAAACAGTTCCAGTACATCCTAGGATGTATCAGATTTTTGGCATTTATTTTAATTGATATCTGAGAATTTTAAAACCCCACCTAAAAAGGTAGTAAAACATACCTTTATACTTTTGAGAATCCTAATTATTATTATTTTTTGTCCTTGAATGTTTTTCTTCATGTGATCTTAGTCATCCAAGAACATACTGTGTCTGTAGGACATGGACTGTGCACTCATGTTGCTAGAATTTAACATAAGAGGCAGTCTGTAGATGAACATACTAATATATGATGACAACCTGTTGTGTGTACCATGAAGGAAGTTAACAGGTGTAATATTATAGATTAATTATGAAGGAAGGATAAGAGTAGTTAAGGTGATCAGAAAATGTATCTCTTGGAAAGTATCATTTATGCTAAGACTTGAACTATGAAGAGTTTGATGAGGGAAGAGTACATAGGTAGAATGATAGTATGTATGATAACCCTGACTCCCACAACAGCTCAATATTTTCCAGAAACTGAAAGATTGTTTTAGGTATAAGTAACTTAACATGTCTATATTCAATTAATCCCCAAATAATTGATTATACATACAGAGATTAGTATATATTAGCTTTTTAAAAAATCAGACAATCTGTACTAAGAAATAAGCATGGGGATCAAAAGTGTTTAGTAAAAAAAGAAATTACTGATTTCCAATCTGTTCTGCATTCATTGAAAACTATCCACCTGAAATTATGGTGATTTATATGTATGCATTGATAGGCAATAAAATGATAAAAATAATTGCTATACCAAGGACTATATATTTAGTGCCAAACCTCAAATGTACTGAAATAATATCACAGAAAAAAATGATTCCTACGTGAGTAACTCAGTTAAGTGTATTGTACAAAAATGTGGCAAACAAGGGTATCACCATAGTAGATGCCTTAAGCAAAAGAATAGCTGACAGAAGTTGTGAATCATTAGTAGGAAGAAGACAGAACAGATCAGAGGGTGAAAAGAATGAGGGGAAATAGAGTAAGAGTAAGTGGAAGGGTAGTGAGAATCTTGCTCAGTAAGAGTAGAGGAGGACAAGAGGAAATAATTCAAGGAGAAGGAGAAGGAAGGATGTAAACAGTTTAAGAGGAGCCTATTCTAGTAGCATAATTTTATACTGAGTAAAAACCTCAGGAAAGTCTACTTTTAGTTTTAAGAATAAATGTGAATATCTCATACCCATTGCCTAATCACGTTAGAGCATCCCAATCAAAGCTGAATGTATCTTTATCTCTTCTACTTCTTCAAAATCTTTGTTTTGCAGTATTTCACTTTGAAAACTCAAAATGAAAAATTATATACTTTTATTATATTTTAATATTTTAAAGTAATATTTGTTTTAAAAATAAAATGTATATACCATGTAGTATGTTGTATTTATTTACTCATAATGTTCTTTTAAGTGTTTCAGGCTGCATGTACCAAGTAGTTCAGACGATTGGCTTGGATGGAAAAAATCTTCTGCAATTACTTCCAATTCCTAATTCTTCTGGAAATCTTATACCACTAGTTCAATCTTCAGTCATGTCTGATGCTTTGAAAGGGAATAGAGGAAAACCAGTTCAAGTTACTTTTCAGACTCAGATTTCCAGCTCTTCTACAAGTGCATCAGTTCAATTGCCCATTTTTCAGCCAGCCAATTCTTCAAAGTATTTTCTTACAAGAACAGTAGATACAGCAAAAGAAGGTAGAGTTACTTCTGTGGGAACTGAAAATTTTACTTCAGCAGTTTCTAAAGTTCAGAGTCATGGTGTGAAAATTGAAGGACTCACCATGAAAACATTTGCTGTTCCTTCCTCCTCAACACAAAATGATTCATCTTATATTGTAGTTAACACCCAGAGTCTTCCAGTGACTGTGAAGTCTCCAGTTTTGCCTTCTGGGCATCATTTACAGATTCCAGCCCATGCTGAAGTGAAATCTGTACCAGCATCATCGTTGCCTCCTTCAGTTCAGCAAAAGATACTTGCAACTGCAACCACAAGTACCTCAGGAACAGTCGAGGCCTCCCACGTACCAACCGTTATTTATGTATCTCCTGTAAATACAGTGAAAAATGTGGTTACAAAGAACTTTCAAAACATTTATCCAAAACCTGTTACAGAAATAGCAAAGCCAGTGATACTAAATGCCACACAAATTCCAAAGAATATTGCTGCAGAGAGACAATTAAAAGGTGGTCAACATTCTCAAGCTGCTCCAGTGAAATGGATTTTTCAAGAAAATCTACAGCCTTATACTCCATCTCTTGTTCCTGTTAAGTCTTCAAATAATGTGGCTTCAAAGATTTTAAAAACTTTTGTAGATAAGAAAAGTTTGGGAGATAATGCTGTAAATATGCCACCATTGAGTACCATCAGACCTAGTGGGACACATTCTAAAAATTTGCCTATTAAAGATAATGCTTTGGTTATGTTTAATGGGAAAGTCTATCTATTGGCTAAAAAGGGGACAGATGTTCTGCCATCACAAATTGACCACCAGAATTCTATTTCTCCTGATATTCCACTAAGAAAAGACACGTTACAGATAGTGGGTTCGAGTCCAGTCACAGAAATATCCAGAGAGGTTGTAAATATTGTTTTGGCTAAAAGTAAATCTTCCCAGATGGAGACAAAATCACTTCCCAATACCCAGCTTGCTTTCATGGCCAATCTAAGGGCAGAGAAGAATAAAAAAGTTGAGAAACCGTCTCCTTCTACCACAAATCCACATAATATGAATCAATCCAGTAACTACTTAACACAGAGTAAGACTTTATTCACAAATCCAGTCTGTCCAGATGGATTTAGTACAGGACAAAATGCCCCCAGAAAAGAAAATATCATCCAGAGCATAGAGAAAATAAGTTCCTCTGTTGGTGCAACAAATGTTACTTCACAACAGTGTGTTTTCAGAGACCAAGAACCAAAGGTAATTTTCCCATGTCAGGGTGTTCTTTTTGTATATTTTTATAGAAAATTTTTCTTTCTTAGTTTTTCAAAATTATCTATGATACCTCTTCTCCCCCAACCCACCCTACTATACACATACTATACATATATGAATGCTTAATCAAGTCAAAACTTTCATCAGAGTAAATATTTGAAGAGGAGTACAGTTAGGATAGTCCAAGCGGTATCTTTCTCTTAAATTACTTGGCATGCTAAATCTTTAAAACAAAACAAAAAGTCACAGACCAACAAGGTTTAGAAGAGTTAGGGAAGAATAAAGTGATTTCAAAGCTTAGTAAAATTGTGTTAGTATATATATAAATACATATGTACACACACGTGTATATATACTTAATAGCCTACTTTTTAGTATATGAAGAGATCAATGCTATGCATATAAGAGATACTATGCAATGTTTTTTGGGGGGAGGGTAGGGAGATATTCAGCAGTTATTTTAAGTTGACCATGGAAGAGGTGAGACAGGGCTAGTTAGTACCTTTCAGTAATTTGTAGAAATAGGATTTTATCAACATCTTTGAATGGTGGAATTTTTTTGGTACACAATTTTCCTTTTTTTAATGTTAGCTCTTCTTTCTGGCTTCTTGTCCAATTACTCAACAGACCCACATAGTTACCTTTCTGTTCTACTTAAAATAATGTATCTGTGTGCTTACTAAATATTTGTAGCTACCTTTTCCTTGCTTGCTTAAAGGCCTACTTAATAATGTCAGAATATCTCCCCAGCAGTACAGAATTCATTGAACTCTAGAGATACAAAGTAGTTAATTCTGAGTATTAAATATAAGATTTATTAGTAAGACTTTTCCAGAAGACTATAATTTCTAAATAGTGTCATATATATTTTTAAGTTGTCATTAGTTTGCATTCTCATTTTAGGTGTTTGAGAATTGACTACTTGTTACCTTTCTAGGGCAACAAACTGAGAAATTGTAGGGGAATATTTTAAGTTTGTACTTAGTTAAATTCAGTTTTTCGAGTGTGGGTGGTAAGGCAAGGGTAATGGAAACCAACCATTTAGGATTTTAAAGCTTCATGTGTTCTTTTGTATAAGATGAGATAATTACTTAGTTGCTCGTTTGATAAAATAATTTGAGTAATTAGCAGTATTGTTTGTTTTCTTTTCCTAATTCCAGATCCAGAATGAGATGGCATCAACATTAGAAAAAGGTACTAAAGAAAGAAACAAGAAAGTTTTGCAAGGAAGAAATAATAAGACATCATATCTGAAGAGTGATGCTGAATTAAAAAAGATATTTGGTCTTACTAAAGATTTGAGAGTGTGTCTTAGTCGAATTCCTGACCATTTTGGCTCTGGAGAAGGTTTTGATTCCTTTAGCAGTTTGGTGACGAGTGGTACTTACAAAGATACAGAGTTTATGGTGAATGCAAAAAAAAGAAAACAGGTAATAGATTTTAAAGTGTTCTTTGTAGATACTACAAAGATATATAGATTTATTAATTTTCTTGATTTCATTTTTAGCATTGTACATTACTATGAAAGATGATTTTTAACAAATTTACAAATATATATATTATACCAAAACAATGATAAAAAGAACAGTATATGCAGAGGTAAAAATGCATCCCTGGTTAATTAAAGATGTTATTTTAAGTATTTTTATTCAGCTACTGTTTATTTTTTCCTTGATAATATTATAAGAAAATAGCCATAGCTTTTTAACTAGTTATCCTACTTTGAAGAATATCTAAAGGAAATATTCCAAGTATAGTCGGAAATATAAGCATTCAGATGTTCATTGCAGCAATACTCTTAATCCAAACATTTTAAACAACCTAAATGGTCAATAATGATGAAAAGAAATGTCTCTATAACTTTGCCTACTGTACTACTATTCTACTTAGGAATATATCATCATTTAATAATTCTGAACTTTAGATCAGAGACTAGTCAAGTTTTTTCAAATCTTAACACATAAGCCTACTGTGCAAAGGAAGAGAAAAAATTAAATCAATTGTATTTCTCAGGCATTTCCCAAGTGCTATTATTTTTGGTGGTGGGTCAATATGGCTTATCATATTTGAGCAAGAAAATCTGTATTGGGCAATTTATTCTTAATGAATATCACTAGGACATTGTTATTTATTTTGATACTATACAGCGGGAAATGTTCCTTGCTGTAGTTGTACCAATACATTGTGCTGATTTATGTATAATTGCTAAATATTTGTTTCTGCAAACTTTGTTAAATTTGACAGCACAAGATAGATACATACATACATATATGTATATGTATATATATATAAAAGAATAACATTTTGTTTTTCTTTTGGAATCTTATTTGACATTGCAACAGAGTCTTGATAAGAAAAGAAAAGCAAAAACCATTAAGAAGATGGATCACACAAAAAAGAGAAAAACTGAGAGTGCTTGTGACGCAGTCATAAATGGGGGAACTAATGTCACCAGTTCCCAACTCCTTAACAGTATTTTACCAGCTTCAGATGTATCACAACATAACATTCACATAAAAATTTAAAAAGGAATTTGCCATTTCATCCACATTTTCCAGTTTATGTGAATAGAGATTTTTATAGTATTCATAGATGATATTTTGTATTTCCATAGTATCAGTTGTAATTTGTCCTTTTTCATTCCTGATTGAGCTTATTAGAGTCATTTCTTTTCTCCTTCTGGTTAATCTAGCCAGAGGTGGGGTCAATTTTGTTTATTTTTTCAAAGAACCAACTTTTTGTTTGATTAACTTTCCATGTAGTTTTTGTTGTTGTTGTTGTTGTTTGCTTTCATGTAGTTCTTTTTTTAAATTTTTCTTTGAGACAGAGTCTTGCTCTGTTGTCTGGGCTAGAGCGCTATGGCGTTAGCCTAGCTCACAGCAACCTCAAACTCCTGGGCTCAAGCAATCCTTCTGCCTCAGGCTCCCAAGTAGCTGGGACTACAAGCATGTACCACAATGCCTGGCTAATTTTTTCTATATATATTTGTTTTGGCCAATTAATTTCTTTCTATTTTTAGTAGAGATGGGGTCTCCCTCTTGCTCAGGCTGGTTTCAAACTCCTGACCTCGAGTGATCCTCCCGCCTCAGCCTCCCAGAGTGCTAGGATTACAGGTGTGAGCCACCACTCCCAGACAAATTTTTCTTCATTGTTCTCTTCTAGTCTGCAACTGTTCTTCAGTTTTTTTCTTATCTTTTATGACCCTGACACTTTGGAAGATTGTCAGTCAGTAATTTTGTAAAATGTCTCTCAGTTTGAGTTTATCAGATATAATACTGTCTCAGGATTGGAAGTGTAAAATCTGCTCAGGTACATCATAACAACAACAAAACTCAGATTGGATGGTGGAAACAACAGAAATTTATTTCTTATAGTTCTGGAAGCTGGGATCAAGGGTGCAACCGATACAGTGTTTAGTGAGGGATCTCTTCCTGCCCAGCTTCTCACCATGTCCTCACATGTGGTTTTCTCTGTGCACATGCATACAGGGGTGCGAGGTTGGACAATGAGCTCTCTGCTGTCCCATTTTATCAGGACACTATTCCAACTGGATAAACGTGCCAGATGTATGATCTCAAGTAATTATGACCTTAATAACTTAGAGGCCCATCTCCAAATACAGTGACACTGGGAGTTAAGCTTCAACATATGAATTTTATAGGAGACCCAGCTGTTCAGTCTATAACAGAAGGGTTTGAACATTTTTTCATATGTTTGTTAGCCATTATTCTGTCTTCTTTAGGAAAGTTTCTGTTCATGTCCTTTGTCCACTTTTTGATAGGGTTGCTTGATTTTTTTCTTGCTGATTTTTGTGAGTTCTAAGTAGTTCTAGTTATCAGCCCCTTATCAGATATGTAGGATGCGAAATTTTCTCCCATTCGTAGGTGTCTGTTTGCTTCATGGCTGTTTCTTTTGGTGTCAGAAGCTTTTTAGTTTGATCATGTTTTTATTTTTTGTTGCTGCTTTGATTGCTTTTGGGGTCTTCTTCATAAATTCTTTGCCTAGCCAATGTCTAGGAGATGTTTCCAACAGTTTCCTCTAGATTCTAATAGTTTCATACCTTAGTTTAAGTCTGTTATGGAGTGTGAGTTGATTTTTGTGAGAGGCAAAAGGTGTGGATTCTGCTTCAGCCTTCTATGAGTGGCTATCCAGTTTTCCCAGCATGTTTATTGAATAGGACTCTTTCCCCAGTGTATGTTTTTGTCTGCTTTGTTCAACATCCTAACCATCAGGAAATGCAAGGAGCAAAGCTAAAATAATTTGAACAAATAATAATGATAGCACTTAACTTTAACCTAAAATAAATACACCTATGAATCTATGCCAATATAAAAATAATACATAAATGGGGCATTCAATTCATTACAATTAAATTCATTTAAAAAAGGATAAAGAAAATGGAAAGATCGTCATTGCAAATGCCTCAGTAATAATAGTGAAGCAAGATTCAATGATTGAATGAGTGGACAAAAATCAAAATGAGGGACAAATCAAAATCACAATGAGATATCACTTATTTCAGTAAGAATGGCCTTTATCAAAAGTCCAAAACAATAGATGTTGGCATGGATGCGAGAGAGAAGAACATCTTACACTGCTGGTGGACTGCAAACTAGTTCAACCTCTATGGAAGCATATGGAAATACTTAAAGTGATACAAGTAGATCTACCATTTGATCCAGCAATCCCATTACTGGCATCTACCCAAAAGATCAATGAGACTGTACAACAAAGACACCTGCACTCGAATGTTCATAGCAGCACAATTCAAATTGCATAGCTGTGTAAACAACCCAAATGCCCATCAATCCATGAGTGATTAATAAAATGGTGCATAGTATACCATGGAGTACTATTCAGCTTTAAGAAACAATGGTGATATAGCACATCTTGTATTTTCCTGGATAGAGCTGGAACCCATTTTACAAGTGAAGTATCCCA